TATGCAGCTGAATGTGAAGAAATGTTTGCTGCCAAGTGAAAAAAAACCACTCTTAAAGAGAGAGGGGATGCAGACACAGTTGTCTAATAAGCAATGACAGCTTGTAGATAACTTCTCTTTTACAGATTCAGGTGACAAATTTATTTACATTGTTTAGTGGTTTTGTGTAAGGGTGTATATACATACTCTACCTTGGGAAAATACTGTCCCTGGTATTAGGATTACCATCACTGTCACTCCAGAAATCTGTGTAGCAGTAGGACAGCATTAGCCAACAGATACAGGTTCAGTACTTAATCACTGGGTACTTACTTTCTGGCAGCTCTCGATGAATTCGTCTATGGTAACTACTCCATCTTTGTTTTTGTCCATTTTCTGTTCAGAAAGAATAAGAATGTATGTTTATCCTAACACTGTGTAAAACAAGTCCTTTTTATTTTTCATTTCAGTTATGTGTCAGCCTATGAATAACCAGGCCAACATGCTTTAAAGATGTAGTAAGTGATATACTAGAATAAGCTTAAGGAGTTTATTGTTGAAAAAGCGAGGTGTAATGAGTAGATCTGAGAAACTTGGGATGGAACCAGAGAGAGAATAAGGATTACAAAATTGGTAGGATATGCAAAACTGGTACAACAATGAAAATCTATCCTTACCTGCTATCAGAGCAGGTTTTTTGGCTCCCTATGTTACCTGACCCACCTGGAAAAAAGTTTCCACATGTTGTCTAGGCGCATCCTCCTTGAGAACAGGATAGGTGCATTTCCCCATCATATCATATATTGCTTTCATGATATCAAGCATTTCCTGAAGAGAAAAAAAAATATCTATGTATATATCTATGAGGTGCATTATAGACACTGCTTTGACTCGGGATACATAAATGATTTTTAGGATTTACATTTTAGGATTTACATATTAGAATAAAATTTTGAGATTGTGCCTGTTATTTTATGACTGAACTGCTTCAAGAAAGAATTACTACGTTCCTAGAAATTCTAGCATGTTAGTTCAGTTTTCATAGATAAACTTGTTAAATAGGTGTATATGTATGATTTTGATTTTAAATGATTTAGAATATGTGTAAGTTCATGAATTGTGGGAAGAACCTCCTTAGGTCTTGTGAATAAAACTAAATGGGAAAAGAAGTTCTGTAACAGTAAGTGATGGTCAAAACACACCAACTTCTTACAATTGAGTTTTCTCTAGAGAAAATAGAAACACCTATGCACACACCTGCACATATGCAAAGACTTCTCCTTTTATATCAAAGGCTTTGAATTTTGTTAATAGAGTGCCTTGTGAAAACTCTAAGAATAATTGTCAAAAAAAGTCATCTGCCAGTATGCTGAGAAATTATTCTATAGATTACCTTTTTAAAATAATCATGAAGTGTTTTTCTAAAAGTGTAAAATTATAAGTGCAAAAAGACCCAATTTTGAAAAATCATTTATTTTTGTGAAGGCACTCATTTGGTCCCACTGCAATTTATGTGTGTGTTTAAATCTTTGCACAGTGAAAAATGTAAGAATCTTTTTCTATAAATTCTGTTTCAAGTAAAAATTTTTAGAAGTAGATTTATTTTTTGTGGCCCACTTACTTAATTCTTTTTTGTCCAAATATCCTACCAAGCTACTTTATTCTAGTGACTGTATGTGCCAATACATAGGCATAAGTTGAAGCCAAACTTTTTGGTGCCTGGAGAATTCTGACCTTTTACAATTTCTGTGATGATTTTTCTTTTTCAGTTCTTAGGTATACCTTTAAAATGAGAAGATTATTTTTTAGCATGTCTGGTTTCATAATATGTTACATGTTTATTTGTTAACACGTCTGATTTAAGGATGAAGCCATTCTTCTTTGAAAGCAGGACTTACATATACAATCTTTAGTTTCAGTGATTAGTGTAAAAAGTGGACCTTACCTCTTTAGTGATATATCCATCCTTATTTATATCATACAAATTGAAAGCCCAGTTCAGTTTCTCTTGTACTGTCCCTCGGAGTAAAATTGAGAGACCCATAACAAAATCCTAAATAGACAAAAGGTCTCGGTCAGTTTGGAATGAAGAAGTTTTTCACAAACGTTCAGAAATCCAGAATAATGCATTTGCCAGGAGCATGTAAGTCTTGAAAGATGTTTTGTTTCTATTTCTTTTGCTTCACAGTAAGTGTTAAGGATTGCTGTTTTTTTAAATGATTTAAAATCTAGGCACTGTATGCTACACTCACAATTAATAAGTAAATAGAGCAATTTTCTATAAAATAAGCCTCACATAAGCAGTTGCTGTTGAACTTGATATCAGGGAAAAGCAATCCCCATGGTTTAATGGTCCAAAAAGACTCTTAAGTGGGAGTTAGATTAATCTAAACACAGGAGACCAATTTTGGGAGAAGTATTTACTAAGGAACATTAAATTCTTGTTAAATCTATACGTTGTTGGAAGTGGAATATGTGGTTCCCAGACGTCTTAGATCAATCTGTGTAGTCAACTTTTGAAAGTTCATGTATGCAATAGTACACCTCAATGCTTAAACTTTTATTGAAATATCATAGGGAATAATATTTATTATGTGTCTGTGTGCCACTGTAATGGTTTTGTGACCTGCTAGTGCTCTATTGCTGTAAAGCTATTCCACAGAAATAAAGCAGAAGACCTTTGAGATTATTTACACATAATGTTTGGTTATAGATTTTTGTTTCATAGTTAATACTCTGTTGACAGCACAAACCTCATCTACATTTAGTGAGCATCTCCAGATTGGAGAAAATTTTGACTGCTACCTGTCCTCTGTATTTCTTAGCATGTTAACTTCTTTTTTAAACAATTGCTTTTTTTTTTTTTTATTAACTGTCTCAACCACCTTTTTCTATTTGATAAACTTGTAAACTCATAAATCTGTGAAATCATCACCATAATAGGTTAAGCAAAATATGGCAAGAGCTTATACTTAAATGTGCACTTCTCTGTCATTGGCAAAGACATACAGGAAGTCTTAGAGTAACGTTAAATAAAGACTATACAAGCTGAAAAAATTCTTATCAACACTGGCAAAGTTTATGCATTTCCCTAAAAAAGGAACAATGGAAAAGACTGCACTGAGGTTAGACATAAAGGTCTGATATACCACACAGTGAAATAAGTATACCCAATACAGAAGCATACACAGATATCACAACTCATAGGAGTCTCTTTTGACAGCTTCAGTCTTTTTAACAATTCAAGTGGTATGCTCTGGGTTTTCTTAGTCTGTCATAAATTTCTGTCTTATTGGTATATGTGCCCTTTGGGGTAAATGGATACATGAATCTTGAAAGAGTTTTGCTCAACTTGTGTACATCTTGATGACTAATTGAGGGTCACAGGGTTATATCTCCAAACAGCTCTTTAACAATGTACTATTAAGTATTAAAATGTTTGAGAAATTCAGAACAGATTTGATCACGTTACAGCATTAGCAATTAACCTTTTTAATTCAGTACCATTTCTTCACATCTTTTCTGCACTGTTTTACATTCTTGATGTGGCCTTTCCTGAAGTCCTTTGCAAAGGTCTCCAACACTTTTATTTTCTTAGGGTTTTATATTTCAGGACTCTGAATTTATTTTTAATTGCCACCAGCAATATTTTTGCATTTTTTTTCTATCAAAACCATATCTATTTTTCTTGTCCTGATTATTTCTCTTTCTTCCTTTGATGCACTACCCATATGTTAGCTGGCTCCCTGGCATCATTCATATCCCCATTTGCAAAGCTGCCCTTCCATCATCGATGGTAAAAAACACACATAAAAAACCCCTTGACTTTATGCTGTTTTGCATAGGACTGAATGTCCTTATAAAAGCTGAGACAACTCAAAACCTTCCAGATGTGTGCTCTAAACTTTGCAAGAGCGGGTCATCTTCCATATTGCATTAACACTTTTGGGAATCATATGTAGTTCAGGTACATTGCCTTTGTCTGAGTGTTGTACAGGAGTCCATCTCAGGAACAACAGAAAGGACTTGTCATAAAAGAAAGTGGTGATGAGCTGAATAAGAACCAGTTAGTACGGGCTATCTTTTCTACATACTCACTTTTGTACAATTGAAGAATACAGCAATAAAATCATAGAATCATAGAATGATTTAGGTTGGAAAGGACCTTGAAGATCATCGAGTTCTAACCCCCCTGCCATAGGCAGGGACCCCTCCCACTAGACCAGGTTGCCCAAGGCCACGTCCAGCCTGGCCTTGAACACCTCCAGGGATGGGGCCTCAACAACCTCTCTAGGGAACCTGTTCCAGTGCCTTACCACCCTTAAGGTGAAAAACTTCTTCCGAATGTTTAATCTAAAACTGCCCTCTACCAGATTAAAGCCATTCCCCCTCATCCTGTCACTACATGCCCTAGTAAAAAGTCCTTCCCCAGCTCTCCTGTAGGCCCCCTTTAGGTACTGGAAGGCCGCAATAAGACCTCCCCGGAGCCTTCTCTTCTCCAGGCTGACCAGCCTCAGCTCTCTCAGCCTCTCCTCATAGGAGAGGTGCTCCAGCCCTCGGATCATCCTTGTGGCTCTCCTCTGGACACGGTCCAGCAGGTCCATGTCTTTCTTATATTGAGGACTCCAGAGCTGGATGCAGTACTCCAGGTGGGGTCTCACTAGAGTGGAGTAGAGGGGCAGAATCACCTCCCTTGACCTGCTGGCCATGCTTCTTTTGATGCAGCCCAGGATACGGTTGGCCTTCTGGGCTGCGATTTCCAAAATCACGGAGAACAGGAAAATCTGATTCAATGGACGTAGGCTAAATGGGGTGTTTTGGGCTAGATCCTCAAAGAGAAAAGGGCTCTGCATGGTGGAAGGCAATGTGCGTGTCCGGAGCAGTATAGCTCTGCTAGCTGTTAAACTAGTAAACCGGTGCAGAATGCTGTAGTAAAGCATCAGTACTTTGGGTAGCAGCTAAGCTCAGAGAGAATCTGTCTATATGCTTGTTACCAACAACTCAGTGACGCATGAATGAGGCACACCATTTAGCACGGAGCATGGACCCAAGTCCTCATTATGGTATTGGAATACCCAGATGTGTTTTCCTTCCTGGTTTGGACATCCGATTTATGTGGGCAGAGGGATTCTACTTTTAAAGTCTACTTACTTTTGAAGCAAGATTCACAGTGCTGCTTGGGACACTTACATCCCCTGAGGAGGCAAACACTGTTCCCTGATAGGGACTGTTCTGCTCAGCTGAGCACCTGATGAGGAGGGCTGCATCTGATCTATGGTCACAAAGATGCCTAACATGCTGGAGGAGGTCTGGACTCAGACACAACTCTAGGTCAGGTCTCTCTTCAGTCTGTGACAACGATGTTAGAAGCACAGGAGCCCGTGCATTGGTACTTGCCTTTACTCCTTTCCACAGCTTCCTATTTCTAACTTTCTCTCTTCTTGCTGAGTGTGCTAATACCTGTGAAGACCTCCATTAAATGACAAACTCTCCAGTGCCTAACTTTGATTCTGCAAAAAAAGGGAGATGTCTCACTGAAGGGCTGCAAAACAGAGCATCGTTGACCCTGTGCAGGCGATTCTCGGTGCTTAGTATCACAGCCTGCTTAACGTCTCAGTTCTGTGCTACAGCTGTACGGAGCCTCTGGTTGTGATCTGGGATTAACTCATATTTGATTTTTTTTTTTTCCAGCAGTGATCAATTATCTCTTAGAAAGGTTGTTGATGACTTCTGATTGCTTTATCCCTCAGTAATTCTTTGGGGTGAACTAGTTCATTAATGAATTAATTAACAAGCTTAATAGTGTGCTGTCTCAAATCCGTGGGAAAGCTTAAAATTATTCCACCTGATCATGTGTTCCTTTATGTCTTGTTCAAGGCCAGAAGAAGTAGGTAGGCAGGCACCTAAATCCATTTTTCCGATTTAGCCCTTAGGATTTTGGAAAGGAATCAAGCCATGAATGTTAGCCACAGAAGTGGCGGAGTCCTGGCGCGTGTAGAACAAAGATCACCGAGGAAGAGCTGCTGTTAAGTGGAAATATAGTTCTTTGCAGCTATTTCACACCTGCTGGTATTAAAATGCTTATGAGATCACCACTGTACTGAGAAAACTTAGTTCATTTCCTACATGACACGAACAAGACTTTTTGTGTTGAACAGAGAATCACATTTGGGTACATTCATTAAACTGCTACTCTCATATTACTGCCTTGGAGACAATGACTGTTCATCACTATTATTAGTGAAATACCAAAGTTTTGTTTGATCTTAAGAGCTGGACTCTCCTACAGAACTAAGTTAACATGTTAGTTCATTTATTAATTAATGCAACAATTGAGGAATAAAGCAATCAGAAAATCACCAACAACTTTGCTAAGAATTATTAACTTTTTTTTTTTTTGAGAAACAAATACAAGTTTGGTTTTGACTAAAAATGACAAAAATCTTTAAACATCTGCATTGCATTTGGGCACGGCTCTGTACTTTAAGGCACTGAGAATTAGTGGGATTACTGAGTGATTTTCCTCTCATCAAGATCACATTTAGAATAGCCTTAATCTGCATCTACAACAAACTAAGGATAATGATTTGAATATTTGCATGTGGATGCAACGTGCTTTACCTTTGACTATATGTCTGAGGTTAATTAACCTCAATTTTCCTGACTCTATAAATAGCATTTAAGCCCAGATCTTCATTTTGGTTCAGTTACAGTATTCATGCAGCAAGTGGAAACCTTGATTTCACATCTGTCTCTGACGGAAACAAGAACTTCAGTTCACTAATATGCCAAAAGAGCCCTTCAATAGCTGGGTCACTGGGTTTTCTGAAACTGTCCCTCACGTTAAAGCGAAAAGCAAACTAGTTGGCATAACTAATGAAAAGTTAGTCTCCAAATTGATACAATCATGAGATAAGGAGAGATAGGTTCAAGCAGCTAGCTTAATGAGTTTGGTTTTATGCTACATAAAATGCTTCGGTTGGAGAGCCTGACTCCTATCAGAGAGTATACAGATTTAGAGGTGACAAAACTCTCAGGACATAGCAATCTCAGCAAGCAATCTCATCCAATGAAGGTGCGTGTTTAAGTTGTGCTAAAGGCCAACACTTACTGCTGATGGTTGAAAATTTGAGGAAAAAGGAGCAAAAAGCTAGAACAAATTGTCTCTTTCTTCTCCCCCACAACTCCATCTACCGCTGCTTCATTAGAAAAAGGAGAGTGCAACACAAAAAATATCATTCTTACCTACATTCTTTTAGTACCATTTCAGATTTTTCTATCCTTTTTACATAGAAGAGAGCTGGAGTGTTTTATCAAAGGTCATTACGTTAAACTTCATATACTCCTACATTTTTATATAGAAAGTAAATTGGGATGAATGATTATTTATTCTCCAGATTTTTAAATCACCTGCTTTTTCTCCATATTTTGTGGGTGTGTTTTGTTTTTTTTTTTTCACTAATGGAAATTAGAAAACTATAGTACGGATTAGTACAGAAAGAATATGGCACAGTTGCACCTACGACAAAAAGGAGCAGGAAAAAAATGACATTATTGTATTTTTCACATTTCAAAACATCTGCTTTCACATTTTGTGGCTACTTTCATATGATTAGAAAAAACCCTAAACATTTTTTAACATACGGAGAATGCTTACAGAGCAGCTATCATACAGTTTGTAAGTATGCTGCTACATGGTACAGGGACACAGAAAAGTCTTTTGACAGCTGTAGAGTTATGCTGGATTCACAATTAGTGCAAATAATATCAAAGTCTGGATCACTCTGTGTCGATATTGAACAAAAGTAAGCTGGAAATGTCTGTTTTGGCAAAGACAAAAACACCGTTTCTTTTATTTACCTGATTTATTTTATTCCAAAGCCTATTTTTGTATACAGACTTGCACTTTGAGATATTCAAATCCCTTAAAAACGGCTTCACATCTACTGCGTTTCTTAAGGCTTTCTGCCTGATATACAAATATCAACAAATTGTCCAGGAAAGATAAAAAAGCTTCATTAATTCTCATTATTCTTAAAGAGAGCAGCAGAAATACTTCTTAAATAACGATGTTAAAAATGTTTTCCTTCATTGTCTCTGGTATTGCTGACTTGACCAGAAGAATTCCTTGTAGAACTAGCCTATGTACAGCAGATGTGAATAAAGCCTCCGTTCCCACTTCTAGTTTCACATGGAACCCATTGATTTCAGCTGCTCAGAAAAAGGCAGACAGGGTTCATGTTTTTTTTAAATAAATCAAAATAATCCTCCACAAAATGATCTGGTTATAGTCCCAGTTGAGGTATAGATTTCTGATCACAGTGCACCTGCTTGGCGAGGCTTCTCTTTCCATATTACATCAATAATAAAGCAATGAAAATGCTTTCAAAAAAATTTCTGTCAGACCTCACAATATCATTCACTCAAGTAAATCATAAAAGCACATATAGGACATTTAAATAAATTTAAAGTGGGTGTATTTGTCACAATCCAATCTCAAGTTGTAAGGATATAATTTGTCTACTATAAACAAAACAAAACAAAGCAAAACATGACAAAGCAAAAATATCCTTTAGCAAATGAACTGAGATTTTTTTTTTTTTTTAATTCTATAGTTTAAAATAATGGCTCCTTCACAGTATTTTGTACACCCTGCTTTCATCTAAACTATTGCAGTGAGTTGCCCTTTTCACCATGTTATTGCATTGATGATCGTATTGGGTTTGTGTGTCAAGGTTTTGGTAGCAGGGGGTTGCAGGGCTGGCTTCTGTAAGAAGCTGCTAGAGGCTTCCCTTATGTCTGCTAGAGACAATGGCAGATGTCTCCAAGACAAACACGCCACTGGCCAAGGCCGAGCCCATCGGTGATGGTGGTAGCATCTCTGGGATAACATATTTAAGAAAGGGGGGGAAAAAACCTGCATGACTGCAGCCTGAAAGATGAATAAGAATATGTGAGAGCAACAACTCTGCAGACACCGAGGTCAGTGAAGACAGATGGTGAGTGAGGAGGTGCTCCAGGTGCTGGAGCAGAGATTCCCCTGCAGCCCATGGTGAAGACCATGGTGAGGCATGCTGTCCCCCTGCAGCCCATGGACATCCTCCGTGGAGCAGATATCCACCTGCAGCCCACGGAGGACCACACACCAGAGCAGGTGGGTGCCTGAAGGAGGCTGTGAGACCACAGGAAGCCCGCGCTGGAGAAGGCTCCTTGCAGGACCAATGGACCCATAGAGAGAGGAGCCCACACTAGAGCAGGTTTGCTGGCAGGACTTATGACCCCATGGGGGACCCACACTGGAGCAGTCTCTTCCTGAAGGACTGCACCCTGTGGAAGGGACCCATGCTGGAGCAGTTTGTGAAGAAGTGCAGCCTGTGGGAAGGACTCACTTTGAGAAGTCTGCGGAAAACTGTCTCCTGTGGGATGGTCTCCACACTGAAGCAGTGTGAGTATGAGGAGTCCTCCCCCTGAGGAGGACAGAGCGTCAGAGACAACCTGCGATGAACTAACCAAAACACCCATTCCCCATCCCCCTGCGCTACTTAGGAGGAGGAAGTAGAGAAACGTGGGAGTGAAGTGGAGCCTGGGAAGAAGGGATGGGTGGGGGGAAGGTGTTTTAATATTTGGGTTTTATTTCTCATCACCCTACTCTTATTTGATTGGCAATAAACTAAATTAATTTTTCCCAAATTGAGTCTGTTTTGCCCATGACGGTAACTCGTGAGCAATCTCCCTGTCCTTATCTCCACCCATGAGCCTTTCATTATATTTCCTCTCCCCTGTCCAGCTGAGGAGGGGAGTGATAGAGCGGCTTTGGTGGGCACCTGGTGTCCAGCCAGGGTCAACCCACCACAATGATACCAGCCTTTGCAGGTGATCACATTGGCCTTAGCAGAGAAAGGCAGAATTTTGAAAACAGACTGAGCAGTTAAATGGAGGTAGGATGAGTTTCAAACACTTGTGCTTTTAGATACATTTGCTTTAAAGCCTTTTTTTTTGTAGAGCCGCCTTCTGGAAATTAATAGAACGTGTGAGCAATCCTGTTTTGGCTGAGTCAACCCTGTAACATTAGTTGTAGTTCAGAGTCCTTCTCACCTTGCAGAGCCAGGGAGGAAGATAAGGATTATTTAATGTAACTTGCTTATAAATTGGGTTACCTTTTAAATTTACAGATTTATGAAAATATTACATAGCAGCACAGTCTGAGTTACCATTTCAGGATGTACAATTGTAAAATAATAATAACTTTCATAAATACATTGAAAATACTTGAAACTTGAGTCACATAAGCTAAATTTTTCATAATGTGAGCCATATAATAAAGCCACTAAACAAGACTTAATTACAAGAAAAGGCAAAATATTCAATTGCAGAGAAAGAAGTAACAGCATCACTTACCTCAAAACTTACAGATCCATTGTGATCAGTGTCAAATGCATTAAACAGAAAATGTGCATAAGTTGTGGAATCTACAATTGAAAACAGTAAAAATAATTTATAGTAAGCACATCTTATTTAATTTCATTCCATGAAAAAAATTGATACCAAGATATATTTTGATACCAAAATTTGATAGCAAGACTAAATTTTCAATTCAGCTCAAACTTCTCTTTTGGCAGGGGAGAAGGGGTAAATTATAAGTGCAAGTATTTGGGTAGCTACACTGTAAGGAATGGAAAATCTAAAATTCTACTCTAGAATATCTTTATTAATTTTCATCACCATTTCTACTCATCACTGATACCTGAATGAATAGCAAAGAGGCCACATTATTGTACTCTGAAACAACCTGCATTAATGGGAACGCTACTTTATCAGTCAAATGAGATCTCGTATTTAAAGAAACAAAATATGTTCATTTGTTCACTTTAAATGAGGGAAGCAGACACTACCATCTGTGCATCTGGTGTATTGTTTTTAGTCTGAAGACAGGCCTGTTACCCAAACTGAAGATGATCTTCTCAGAAAGCTGCAGCTGCACTCAGGTCTTATGCTCACCCACAGATGAGAGAAAATCCTGTCCAGAGAAGCAGGTCCTTAAAGCACGGTATAAGAACTAGGTGTTTAAAAACCTTGGAAAAACTGGCTGTGACTAACTGAAGTGGTCAATAAGACTCTTAAAGATGACCGTAAACAAGTGATCCCTTCACTAATTATTTGTATACTTTTCAAACCTACTGACCAGTGAAGATCGACTCATTTTAGAAACATAAAACAGCACGGATATAAATCTGACAAGCCTCTAAGTTTTTGTAAAGATCCATCTTTCCATTTCCACTGAATGCCTTCTGAGAGGCACAACCTGGTCCAGGAGTAATATATTGGGAAGACAGAACTCCAGCAACTGCCCTGTTGATGTGAGGTACAAGCTGCTGGGGTTATGGGAAGTCAGCTTTCCTCAGAGTCTTTTCCCTCCCTCAAAACCATGCAAATTAATGTAAGCTGAGGTATTGTTTACTTTTAATACTCATTGCTTTGCTCTTTCCATTTCATGTATTTACACTAATTTTAGGTTAATTAACATTAACCTCACAAACTTTTAATAAAGTGAGAAGTGTTATGAAATCCATGTCCTTTTTGCAGGAAAAAACCACCCATGGAAAACCCTCCAGTGCTGTGGTGCCTTTTTCTGATTTCTTGGCACTAAACTATTTTACCTTTCATATGTTTATTTGTCACAGCCCAAAATATTGTTTTGAATTTAGCTAAGTGATAGCCTTGAGTCACCTAAAATGCCACCCTGACTCCAAGAATGAAAAAAAAAAACCCACCATTGAGACATTTGTTCATTCATCCATGTATCCAGTCATCAGTGTAATTGCTTAAGCATAGCCTAGCAGATAAATTCCCACTTTAATTGAGAAATGTAAATTTTTGTACTTCAATTTATATTTAGGATTTTAATAGTCATATCTTCTATAATCTACTGAGACTTCTGTTGCACAACAGAATATACTATGCAAACCATCTTCAGGGAAAAAGCATATTAGAGAGGTATAATTACTTTAAACTGAATTTTAAATTCCCATTCTCTGGTCATTCATTTCTTAAAAACATGTGAAATATTCCTAATTATTTTCTGTAGATTTACAGAAAACACATAAAGGGGTTTTGTTGTTTGTTGCCCATACATGATACAATATACTACTCCTTTTGTATGATGGTATATGGTAACAAAATCTCTAGTTAAAGAATGTTTTATTTCTAGTAAACCCTTCTGAAAAAAAAAAAAACCAACAAAAAAACAACAAAACACCAAAACCAAAAAACAACAGAGGTGTTTTTCAGGATTGCTTATTGAGGCAATTATGGTCTGAAATTTTGCCTCAACAAACATGGCAGGATGAGGTATACTAGTCTTTTAATTAGAGCTACTTAATGTGATTTCTCTCTGCTCCACCCCCCTAAATCTTGAACATTAATCATGTTAGACAAAAGCTTGACTTTTTAGATAAAATACATTTTCTTTTCAACGATTGGATATCATAACTACTAGGCTAAATTGATATTTTGACAAGTTGAGACAGGAACAGATATTAGATCAGAATTCCTTTGAAATACACCATTAAAACATTTGAAAAATCAGAGACAAAAAATGGTAGTCATTATACATCTGAGAGCATGCTTTATTAAACCATGAACATAATCTGTTCTGTTCATAACTGAGGAGGAGTGTAATAATGATTCAGTGTCTGGATTCTCATCTACAAGCTGCCCGTCTGAAGAACAAATCCAAGTAATATTTCAGGCGATCCACTGCCTGAACACAGGGGGCCTATTCATTCACCTGTATTTCTAAAAAGAACTAACTGGAGTGCCTTTCCAGCATGGAAAGCTTTTTACAAAGCTACTTCTGCCTTTTAAAATACATTGATTTTACTGCAGATCTGTGTCATCTCCTTTGTTACTCTGACTGTGGCTCCCTTATCCTCTTTCTACTCCTGTCCCTTGTCCTAAATAGTCTTGAAAATCGCTTGATGAAGTGACTCGCTGGATGACATTGGAAAATGACTTTTTGGTGATTGCTTAGTCACCCTGAAGCTTAAAATCTGACACAACTTCATTCTGTTTGCTCAGATATGAACTGTTATAACGATACACCATGTTGTATCTGGTTTTGCATTACATAGACAATTGGGACACAGATCTCCATGTGCAACACGTGTTTTAATGTGGGGACAACTTTAAAACTTATTTTTTTCCTCTTTAATATTCAGACATACCTAAAAGCAATCTTTTAAGCACAACTGAAATTTAAAGGCCTCAGCTGCACACAGTATTTTGGCAATACATTCAAAGATTTAAGTCTTAACTGGACACTTAAATATGATTATCTCACCCTGTTGTTAGCAAGCAGGGATATGCTAATACAGACAGTTAATTGGGCTTTGAAGATACCTTGGGTAATGTGAGGAACAAAGAATAGACTTTGTCTCCCATACCTCTCAGAAAATGGCATAAGTCAACACAGGCACCTACAAAACAGCACAAAACCTACACAAAACATCTCAGGTCTCAGTGGTCCTACAGAAATGAAAGGATTACTGATGTGAGCTGTTACTCTTCCAGGGTGATTCATCTCTTCCGCTGTTTCCACTGAATATTTTTCCTGACATTCTGAGAAATACTACATAAGCCTTTCACATTTGTTTGTGCTGTCTTTATGCACTGCTTAGGCCGCACGCTGTTGCATGGAGGCCATGGAGGATGGGGAGGGAAGGGGACAGCTGCTGGTGGTCCCGTCTTGGTGCTCTTCACTGAAATCTCTAAAATGGCTCTATTGAGAAAGCTGGAAATGCTGCTACTAGTACACAACATCTGTTCTGACAAGTGAATTATCTAGATTCTATACTTTTCTACCATGTTAAAAATCTAACATTTTACCATATTTTAAGTTAAAATTTTAAGCTAAAGAAGCAAGAAGAAAAAGCACAATTTTTTTCCAGAATAGTGTAGCCCCCTTGTTGCAGGTAGAGTAATGGTGTTGTTGAAATTGCAGCGAATAGTGTAACCCCGTGCCCCTGGAATGCAATATTGCCATTGCTACTAAGAAGGCCCAAGTTTTATAGGGAGTTTGCCCCAGGGTGGAGGCTCCCTCAGCTCGCAGCTTTGTTTCCCGCGCTTTAGCTGTGACAGCAGTTTCTCCAACTGATCAGGTTTCTAAGGGTGATTGTTTTTACTTCTGTGGTGCAGCTATAGCTTTATACAGGTAGCAGAAACAAGCAGTTATGCTCTGTAGAAGTAGATATGTACTCCTCTAACATAATGATGCATTGGAGAGAAGAACTTTTTGCCTCGTTTGTTTGCAGCGGCCTTGAGCAGCGGAAAGACGGCATGCAGCGCAGAGGAGAGCAGGTGTGGGATGAGACGGGATGGGGCACAGGCTGGCATTGGAGACTCCACAGCTATAAGCAACTCACCCAGGGTCAGTTAAAGGAACGCAGGTGTGGACCTGGACAAAACTGGGTTTAGGGTAGGAAAGATATCAAAGAAATAATATCTAACACATGTAAAAGGTACCACTTGCAATAGATTCGGGTGTAATGTGGAGCTGCAAACCAATGGAGAAAAAGAACGGCGTAAAAATGCATTAGCAGATATGTAGAAATGACCCCAGGTGAATCCCAGAGCGAGGAAGAGGAAAGCACCAACATGAACATCCCATTCCTCCTGGGAAGGACTCCAGATGCCGACAGCCCACTGCAGTCCCCACCTCCTCTCCCAAATGATGCCACCGCCCTCAAGGCCCAGAGGACCAGTAGAAGGACGAGAGCATTAGCACCAGGAGAAGGGTAGGAACTAAGAATTGTGTATATGAAATTATTATTATTATACATTAATATTCTTTCCTTTCTGTAACAATTAGGTCGGAACTAATAGAGATTAGGCTTTTAGATTACATTTATTCTCTCACTAGGTTTTAGCTTTACTTGTATAAAAGGTGAGCTTTCTCTTTGCCCATAAACAATTTTAAGTGTAACGATAGGAAATACTTTTTTTTTTTAAATATTATTATTTTAAGTGTAGTAAAGATGTAGTAAATCACATGCAAAGAATTATTTGCACTAGCCAGAGTAACTAAAAAATGTAATATCTGAAACTGTAATTGTTACCCTGGTTTAAAAGCTTAGATACAGAAATAATCAGTAGGCGGGTCAACTTTTTTAGCCTTTTGTTCTTCCCTATTGAGTGTGCATACTCGTTAAGGATTTCTGTGATAGTAATCTACACTGAATGCTGCTCTTTACCTTCTAGGTCTTTATTTGAAACAAAACTAATTGGGAGATGTTTTGTTCCTACCAATTACACGTGCTTTTTTTAAAATACAAGTGAAAAGAAAGAGGTATGAACAGTCCCAGGGAAACATGCAAATCTCAAGAGCTGTAGGAGAAGATGAAGAGACAGCATTGAAGAGCTATTGGAGAATATGAAGAGGGAGGTTTGAATAGTAAAAGCAAGAGGCAGAAAAGAGAGGAAAACAATTCAAACTTCAAGAAAATCCAAGGTTCAAGGCAAAAAAAACTATTATACATTTTTGTGTTACCTTCATTACATTAAAAGATAATGAAGATAAAGAAATTAATGAAACCCCTGGAAATTAATTAATTGAAAGTAAAGGTAGCAAAAAAAGCCCTCATTGAAGTAGAGAAACCTCACAGAAGTCAAGGGAGTTCTGCCATTGATATTAGGGGGTACTCTTAGTGCCTCCTACAGTTTTCATTCGTACTGTGAAAGGTTTTGTGGACTGAAAGGGAGTGGGGAAGACTGAGTAGAAAGTTTGAAAGGAAATAATCTACTCAGAGAAACCTGGTTTTCAGAGATAGGCATGCACAGGTGGTATCATAACAGGATACTGACTTCTGGTAGTTATCATTGCATTTGATTCAGAAATATATACTTCAAAATGTGTCCAGCCATCAAGTACCCACCCCATGAGTTCAGACAAAGTTTGAGATAACCATCTCATTAATTTGAACAAGAAGCTCTTTTGTCAGACATAGACACTAACAAACATAACTCACTGTACACTGTGGTACCAATTATGTCTGCCAAGTACTCACCTCCCTGTGGAAAGAACTGAGAGTAAATCTCTTTGAAGGTTTCTTCGTTGACAACACCACTGGGGCATTCC